CATACCTGCAGTGTCTTCAGACTTTGCCAGCAAATTAAAAGTTGAAGCTTAATCATTAAATTATTATCTTTGTGTTAGATTTATTAATAAATCACATTTAAACACTGCTTGTTCCAATTAAATTAAATAAAAAGTAACACACATGTTCTCTATCACCGTCATTAATCAGATAAACAAACAAACAAGCAGCAGCTTCATCTACCAGACAGACTGACGTTACGTTTTCTCTCTTGAAACAGAACAAAGTGTTAAATTGTAGAGACTCACCTGCAACACGAGTTGGGAGTGAAACATGTTGTATCTGCTGCAGCTCCTTCCTCCTCCTCGTGACTCCGACATGTTTACGTTTTATCTCCGTGGTTCTCTCGTGTCGTGTCGGCGATTTTCAAAGCTGCATGTTTCTCATTTTTTATCTTTGTGAAGTTCTCCCACACTTTGAAGGACTTGGGTCGAACAGTTTTCGCTGCGTCGGTCATTTGTAAAATTTACTTACATTTCCTTTGAAAACAGTCTCTGCTCTGCTTCCTCCTCCCCCCTCGCTCTGTTCAACTCGCGCTGCAGTTTTTTTTTTTCAAACTTTATTCAGTCAGTCAGCATTGACAATGAACTGCCCGTGAACAAAACGAAACGGCTCTGCAGCGCCGTGAAAGACGCATAATAGCGCGACACAACGAATCGATAACGAAATTCGTTGCCAACGCTTTTAATCATCGATCTTTATCGATTTTATCGATTCGTTGTTGCAGCCCTACACATGTACCACATGTGGTGTGTATGACAAATAAATCTCTCTGACTCTGACAAGATAAATGCCTAAAAACAATTATTTGTTTGCTCAAAATAATAGCAAAGGTGTGTCTCAGTTGAACTATTCCTTAATAAATGCACTTTAATGGTCAAATCAGCTGCATTTCGCCGGGAAGGTGCAACTGGTTTGACGGTCGGACCAAGCAGTGAGCAGAACGAAGGTGGGGAGACTATGGCAAGCCAACTGCATCAGTAATAGCTGGTAAATGGGCTGTATTTATATAGTGCATTTTTATCTTATCAAGATACTCAAAGCTCTTTACACTACAATCTGTGCCTCATTTACCCGTTCATACAGCTCTATACTAGATCTCTACAAAACTAATAGAACAAATCATTCTAAAGAGACTAATCAGAGCTTTATCACATTCATACACTCATGGGACACACATCAGAGGCAACGAGGGGTTCAGTGTCTTGCCCAGGGACACTTCAGCATGTGACTGCTGGTGGATTCAAACCCCCAACTCTCGCATTGGAGAACGACTGCTCTAAGCACTCACCCACAGCCGCCCCTGCATTAATAGCTGGTGAAGATTCTCAGTCATCCAGGACATGGTAAATTCAAAAAAGTTCAAGAAAAAAAACAAAAAAAAGTAAAAAGTATAATAAATAAAGTCCAGTTGTTTTTGTCTTAACTTTTTGAATTTGTCATTACAGCCACGTTTACCCATTACATGATACAACGGAATGCCTTACTGCTAGTACTACTCTGCTGCCATCAAGTGGCTGGAAGTGGTACTGCTCAATTTTTTTTCAGTCAGAATGAATGAAAACGATCATATCTCAGCCAAAAATTGGTTTATAAACATTGGGAAAAAAATCCCTAAATACGTCACTTCGGCCTATAAGTCCAAGGGCGTGTAAATTATGCTAAAAACTGAGACTTATAGGGCGGAAAATACGGTAGTTTCTGAAATCTCCTTAGATGTTTTCTCTGCTTGATGCCAATGATTTGACCCTTCTGAAACATACTGACATCTTTTCCACGACCACGTCATGTGTCTTTCCACATGGTTGTTTGAGAAGTGAGAAGCAACTCATTGCACCAGTTGAAGTTAAATAACTTGTTGCAGCTGAAACATAATCACCCATACAGTAATTATACAATAGGAGGCTTGTGTCTATTTGCTTAGGTAAATCCAGGTGGCATTTTTTTTTGGGTCAGGCAGTGTATATATAAATCCTAAACTAAACTAAATGGACTGTACTTATATAGCGCCTTTCTATCTTATCAAGATACTCAAAGCTCTTTACAACAATCTGTGTCCTCATTTACCCATTCATACAGCTCTATACTAGATCTCTACAAAACTTATTGAACAAATCATTCTAAAGAGACTAATCAGAGCTTTATCACATTCATACACTGATGGGACACACATCAGAGGCAACGAGGGGTTCAATGTCTTGCCCAGGGACACTTCAGCATGTGACTGATGGTGGATTCAAACCCCCAACTCTCGCATTGGAGGACGACTGCTCTAACCACTCAGCCAACTACTGCTTACTTTTTGTACTAATATTCCTACTTCATGGTTTTTCACATATCACAGGTCTTCAGGGTACAGATCCCCCGTGATAAACGAGAGACTACTGTACTTATAAAATGACGGTATATTAAGTCATGTAAAATATATTTAATCAACAAAAATAATTGTAATTGTATTTTTGCTTTTAAATAAAAGCAAATTAATCATATGATGCATTTACAAAGTTTTGCTTTTATATCATAATTCTGTGAAATAGTCTTTTTACTCAGCGTTGTCCTACTGTCAGATTCTCATACTGGCCTGTGTCTCGTGAGGACATACATAAAGTCTTAAGGTAATTTATTCAATAAAATTAGTATCTCAAAGACCTGATGAACACTCACCATTGGAAGACCATCACTTCTTTCACCTTTAGACTGTGAAGGAAAAGAGAAAATGTCACTCTTAAGTAAAGACTTCGGTTCTTATTATTTGCAAATAAAAAGCAAATGCTGTTAAATAATCCAATGGTGAATGAATCTGGGTTAATTTACATCTTGAGTGATGATCACACTAAAAGCTCTCTTGCTGGAAGAATTACTGCCATTAAAATCAACATCTTTCCACATTTCTTATATCAATTTTAATGCATTTCATTCCTGTGTCTTGAGCTTTTATTGTACAAGGTCAATTGTCTGAATCTGAATTTTATTTGGAGCAAGAAACCACCCAGGCTGCATCAAGTCTTACAGGGGCTCAATTCTGGGAGGAGTGGCACTTAATCTCTTTCAATATTTTTTGGCAATATAAGAAATCTGAATCATTGAGTTTTGTGTTCCTTTGTCCTTCCCTTCTGTCCTTGTGGGGACATGTTTGACTCAATGCTGTAGAGTTCTGATAATTGACATATTGTGTTCTGGTGGACTGGAGAATCAAAAATCAGCTATTGGTCATTGAAAGATGGAAGCCACTCTCTCTCTTCTCCTGAAAACCAGCTGGGGGTTTTCAGAGAGTAGGTAAGTGAGCTGTGATGAACAAAAATGCTGGGAAGAGCGATATCTGAAGAGATTTGGATGCAGACTGCAAAAAAAAAGTCTTTGTTCCTGCATCTGTGAGAGTGGAGCTACTAACTGCTCCACGAACGAGGGAGTCTGTGAGCCTTAACGCCACGCCATTAGCTGTTTCCAGGAAAGAATAAGTTTTGATAGACACCTGGTTTACAACAGAAATGCCACATTTCTTTCAAAAACGTTGACAGTGAGCACAAACAATTTCACTGGCAGGAATTTTTCCATCATATGAATCCATTTCCCTGCTTCTGTCATCTTGCAATGCAGGTCTCTCAATAGGTTGTTGGGTTGCAGCCTGCATGCGCACCTCATGGAAGTCTAGTTGGCGAGGCACCGGAGGGCAGAGCCTCATTGCTAAAGGAGCTGCCCAGCCATGACACCTGGGCAGGAGGCAGAATGGCATCTTAGTCATCTTCAATCTCCTGACCGAGGTCCAAATCAATGTCCACGTCATCTTTAGAGTTGAGAAGATGTTCATACAGTGAGAAAACTGTGAATGGGTATTTCATCATATTCCCCAAGCCCACACCTGCAGAGCCATCATCACTCAGTTAACTGCCAGCTTTTACCAAAGTCTCAGATAGACAGGGTTTCATTTTTGAGGCAAGTGACGTTTTAACACCTGCACTTCAATAATACAGCAGTGGGGTTGTAAGATTTTTCCCTGAGATAGTGAGTTCACAGGAGGCTGGGCAACTACGGGACAAAATCATCAGCCTTGCAGCCACCCACTTTACCCAGAGAAGAACCAGCAGTAGCCAATTAGCTAGCACACAACCTTGACAGCTAGGAGCAGTTAAATGGCCAGGCTTTGTCAGCTGAAGAGCTTTTCAGATCTTTACAAGGAAAAGATACAATGCCAGGTGTTCTAAAGGCAGGGTCTCTATAATAAGTATGCAACTGCTCTGTAGTGACAGACTTTGGGGATATAGAGTTTCCATGAGATGCCACGCCTGAATATAGTGCGATTCTGAGCAAGGTTTAAAAGAGAATCTTAATTTAATAATGAATCCAGGAAGTGCTCCTAACTAAGCACTGGTTGTAAATTACTTTTTTACTGTTTTAGCATAATGCAGTGTGTTACTCAGACATTGTTTCAACAACAAAACTGTAACTCTATAAAGAATAAAACCTGTGTACAAATAATGCTGCTTCTCATTTGACAGACAGACAGAAGACAATAGTCATCTGCTAATGTAAAAAAAGTCACTTGTGGATGAGTAAAAAGTAAATAATCGAGCCTTTCTAAGAAGTAAAACACACAGAAACCAAGTGATCATCAGTCACAGTAGCGGCGTTGCATACCTCTCGATCAGTGATCCCCTGGACACAATTGGGACATTCCCAGCAGCTAGGCAGGTCTTTATTCACCACTCCATCACAATGAATCTGCCAAGGCCGACGGAGACAAAGAAGAAATTGGAATGAAAGAAAACAAAACATGAATTTAGGTTGTGACTAAATCTAGAATCATGAGGGGAAAAAAGTCCGTCTTTGTTCAGTTATTGGGTTTTACTAATCAGATTATTATTGTTATTTTTAACTAGGATTTAAAATTCTTAAAATCTCTATACATAGTTCCCATTAGACTGTACTGGAAACTACTGGAAAAACACCAGGTTCGTAGGATATCGTTAACCAGCGTTACGTGAGTTTTTTTTCTGGGTTTTTTCAACATTTCTGTCAACTGTAGCTTCTTAAAATACTAAAGGACCTTATAGACCAGGGGTACCCAGACTTTTTCAGCTTGCGGGTTCCTCCTAAAATGACCAAATCAAAGTGATCTACCTACTATAAAGCCACATTTAAATGGAAAATGGACTGTACTTATACAGCTCCTTTCTATCTAATCAAGATACTCAAAGCTCTTTACTACAATCTGTGCCTCATTTACCCATTCATACAGCTCTATACTAGATCTCTACAAAGATCCATCCATCCATCCATTTTCTTCCGCTTATCCGGGGTCGGGTCGCGGGGGTAGCAGCCTAAGTAGGGAGGCCCAGACTTCCCTCTCCCCAGCCACTTGGGCCAGCTCTTCCGGGGGAATCCCGAGGTGTTCCCAGGCCAGCCAAGAAACATAGTCCCTCCAGCGTGTCCTTTGTCTTCCTCTGGGCCTCCTTCCGGTGGGACGTGTCCGGAACACCTCACCAGGGAGGCGTCCAGGAGGCATCCTAAACAGATGCCCGAGCCACCTCAACGGGCTCCTCTCGACGTGGAGAAGCAGCGGCTCTACTCTGAGTCCCTCCCGGATGATCAAGCTTCTCACCCTGTCTCTAAGGGAGAGCCCAGACACCCTGTGGAGAAAACTCATTTCGGCCGCCTGTATCCGAGATCTCATTCTTTCGGTCACAACCCAAAGCTCGTGACCATAGATGAGGGTAGGAACGTAGATCGATCGGTAAATTGAGAGCTTCGCCTTTTGACTCGGCTCTCTCTTCACCACGACAGACCTGTACAGCGCCCGCTTCACTGCAGACGCTGCACCTATCCGCCTATCGATCTCACGCTACTAGATCTCTACAAAGATAATTGAACAAATCATTCTAAAGAGACTAATCAGAGCTTCATCACATTCAGACACTGATGGGACACACATCAGAGGTGATGAGGGGTTCAGTGTCTTGCCCAGGGACACTTCGGCATGTGACTGCTGGTGGATTCGAACCCCCGACTCTTGCATTGGAGGACGACTGCTCCGACCACTCAGCCACAGCCGCCCAACACGATCCCGCCGGAGAGGCAGCAACAAACTCCGCTCAGCGAGGAAGCAGGGGAATGCAACCTTAATTCATGTGCACCGAATGCTGTAGGACACCAAACAGAACAGTCTCTGGAAATGTTGGTGTTTTATTCAGTGTTTATTGGGGTTAATGAAAAATGAGAGGGTTTACATGAAAACGCTGTAGTTTCCATGACAGCCAGGTTGCCAGATAAGAAATTATGAACTACAGTAGTCCCTCACTACTTTGAAGTTCGTTTTGCACAAATTCGCAATATCACAGTTTTTCAAAATAAGATTGGACATGACACCATTGGCTGATTGATGGATGAGCCATGGGTGGTTTATTTAAAATAAATTATTTTAAATGATTTTGCACCCTGTGTGCAGGGGGAAGCTCCCTCCTGCAGCCTGTCATGATCTCTGCCACGTGCACATTCTTCTGCTGCATAGGCTTCGTGAAGGGTTAACCCTTTGCTGTCCTGCTGCGCTTCTCTTCTCTACAATTTACATTTAAATACTGTGGTAGATAATAAATAAACTATAAAATAAACAATTCATGCATGCAAATATTACAGTATTTAAATGTAAATTGTTTATTAAAGGAGGGAGATTGGGAGTAACAGGTGATGAGTGTGACAGCAGCCTGGCACGTCACGACAAAGTTTACTGTACTTGAACTGAACTTGGACTACTGTATCCTTACTGTGCGGTGTTTCACTTATCACATGGGGGCAGGGTACGGAACCCCCACAAGAAACGAGGGACTGCTGTATAGTACTGTGGCTTTAAAATGATAGTACTTTGACCTGAACTGTCATATGTGCTGAGTAAAGATATTCTAAGATGAGGTGTGTGTTGTGTTTACTTGAGGTTAGAGTTGCAGTTGCCATCATCTTCGATAGATCAAGACTGAGACAAACACTTTAGTATTGGGCCATGCATGGATTCTATAATGTACCTTGAGGCAGGCAGGATGGGCGATCTGTGCACAGCTGGAACATTCCATAAGTGTGAGGGAGGGGTCCCCACTTTCCTCCTGATTGGGTTCTTTGCAGATCTCACAGACAGCAGACAAAGGAAGGCCCGGCTAAATGGGGAAAAAGAAAGTCATAGGACAGGAGCACCCGTTATACAAATAATAAGATTGCAAAAAGACTCATTCATTTTAAGAAATAATGTCAACATTTCTCAGTAATAATGATAATATTAACACCAATAATAACATTAAAAGGTAGTTGGAGTGAGGACAGAGTGACACGGAGGAGGAGGAGGACTCGCTGTGGAGACCCCGAAGAGGAAAAGTCAAAAGAATAATAACATTAAAACTTCTTACTTGTAAACATTTCAATTAAAACAACCACTTTTATTCTACTGCTGTGGAAAAAAACGTATACTAGCAACTCAAAAACCGTTTGGGGGGGCGTTGGGGATATGTTGAAAAAGAACTGGATAATTAAAAATAATTTCTTTGCAGTGTTCTAATCAGTTAATGTTTTAATGGAGAGAAACTAAAACTAGAGAAACAAAATCTTTCCTTCCAACTCATCAGAACTCCAGCGGCAGCATTTTGGATCAAACGAAGACGTTTTAAGGAGTTTTTTGTTTTTTTTGGACAACTAGATAAAAATCAGAATCGCCCATCGTAGAAGTGATACAATACAAAACAACTTTATTTATAAAACACTTAAAAAAAACAGAGCTGTACACTGATAACATATAAAAACAATAAAATTAATTAAAACAATTTAAAAAATAGATAAAAATAACAAACATTAAAATCCAACATCTCAAGCCAAGTTAAGAGCCCAGTAGAAAAATCAAGTGTTTCATGAGAAGATTTGATAAATGCGTGATGCGGGGCGGCACGGTGTCTCGGTTGGTCGAGCTGCCGCCTCTCAGCAAGAAGGTCTCCATAAAGTTGGTCAGCAGCAGGAAGTCTCTAAAACTTCCTGGCAGATGCTGCGTTCACCTTGGACCTCAGAAAACACAGTGGACCAACACCAGCAGAAGACATGTCCAAAGTTATGTTCTCTGATGAAAGTACATTTTACATTTCCTTTGGAACTCAAGGTCCCAGAGTCTGGAGGAGGAGGAGAGGCACAGGATCCATGTTGCTTCAGGTCCAGTGTCAAGTTTCCACAGTCAGTGATGGTTTGGGGGGCCATGTCTGCTGGTGTTGGTCCACTGTGTTTCCTGAGGTCCAAGGTCAATGCAGCCATTTGCCAGGAAGTTTTAGAGACTTCCTGCTGCTGACCAACATTATGGAGATGCAGATTTAATTTTCCAGCAGGACTTGGCACCTGCACACAGTGTCAAAGATACCAGCACCTGGTTTAAGGACCATGACTCTTAACTGGTCAGCAAACTCGCCAGACCTTCACCCCATAGAAAATCTATGGGGTTATTGTGAAGAGAAAGATGTGATTCACCAGAGCCAACAATTCAGAAGAGCTGAAGGCCACGATCAGAACAACCTGGACTCTCAGAACACCTGAGCAGAGACACAGACTGATCCACTCCATGACACGACGCATTGCTGCAGTAATCCAGGCTAAAGGAGCAACAACTAAGTATTGATGCTGTACATGCTCATACTTTTCATATTCATACTTTTCAGTTGGCCAACATTTATAAAAATCTTTTTTTATTGGTCTTAAATAATATTTTAATTTTCTGAGATCCTGAATTTTGAGGTTTTCATTAGTTGTCAGTTATAATCATCAACATTAAAAGAAATAAACATTTGAAATAAATCAGTCTGTGTGTAATGAATGAATATAATATACAAGTTTCACTTTTTGAATGGAATTACTGAAATAAATCAACTTTTTCACGATATTCTAATTGTATGAGCAGCACCTGTACAGTAGTTGACATAACATGACTCCTGTCATAATAATTATAGTATCTATGATAACTGTTGGGCACAGCCTGCAATTACTTTTAACTTTTAAGCTTTTTAACTCTTTATTAGGCATAAAATGTAAAAATATTTGTTTGTGTAAAAAAGTATTTTCAGATTAAAGAAAACTGAAAAGACATTAAGAATTCGATTAGGAAAACAGAACGATGTGGAGGAGTTTGGCTCAGTCAATGATGGCGCCCAGTCCGGGGTTCCTGCTGCTGCTGGTGTCTCCAGCACTGCGGCGCCATCCATGCCTTGGTCCAAGCCAATATAGCAGCCAGGTTCAGCCGTCAACAGAACCAAGAGACCAGCCTACTCAACCGAACGGTCCCCCAGTCGCCATCTGCCGGCGTTCACGTAACGCTAAGCTAGCAGCGCACAGCACGCTAGCTAAAAAGCTAGAGGCTCGCGCTGAACCGTCCCCCCCATTCCCGCTCAAAAACTGTTGATACAAACGGCGCGCAGCTCAGACGTGTTTCTGCATCCGTCCCCCCAATGGACAAAAATCCCGGACGAGCTGAGCGTCCTGCCACGACAAGTCATGTAGGGGAAACACTGCAACAAGATATATTCAGGTAAGAAGAGTGGCGTTACTCACAGAGATGCACTGTCGCAGCACACACGTCTGCTTGAGTTTGCCTGGTCCTCCAAACTTTTTCATGTCTCTGCAGAAGTTACAATCCCCACATTCTGGCCTCACACAGGCCTCGCATCGCTTACACCTGAGAAAAGCAAAGCAGGAGAGAAAACAACGATCTGGGAACTATGGAGACACGTTCACAAATGCATTCATTTTTAGGATGGTCGAGTTTTGTCTCTTCTAATGAACCATAATAACAGAGTTACTTTTGCAGATGTACATTTACTCAACTCTGAGGTGCACGAATCGCACAAGAAGAAACACACGAACAAGCGTGTGCACATGAGCCTGTTACCTGACTCTGCGGCGCCTCAGCACAGACATGGAGGCCGGTTTCTGAGGTCGTGGGTTGATGGGTGTAGATAGTAGTTTAGGACGAGAAGGTGCTTGAGGAGGGGGGGGAGGCGGCGGTGGTGGCGGCGGAGGAGGAGGAGGAGGCTGATACCATGACGGCTAATGGAAGGAAGAAAAAGTTGAGAAGCTGAGGTTGAAAAAACAAAGAGCACGATTTTAACAAAAGCTATTAGCCATTAGTCCACAACAGGAACCAGAGCTAAACAGTTCCCGCGGAGATCTTCACAGTTTTCTTGAATTCTTTTTTATCCTCGGATTGGAACTTGCAGTACTAAACATTTTGACCTAGGGTTGGGCATTGTGAACAAAAGTTAATATCGCAATGATTTGGTGCTGTATCCCAACATACAACATAGGTCTTGGTATTTTTTTAATTATCCTTAAATCGTTGTATTGTTGTTAAATTCAACACTTTATGCAGTGAAGTAAGAATCACAGATATTGATTCTCTGACCTTCATTCTCTCATTGGGATAAAAAAACAACCGTTTCAAATGTCCTGACAGCATCCAACAGCAGGAGGGACTTTGAATCAGTCCAAGTCCAGAGCTAAAATTACAGTGTAGTGGACAGGACAGAGCGTGTCTGTCCTGTTGTTAGAGTGCATGAGTGATACAACGTGAAGGCATACAAAACACACACAACCAACTACATCTGCTCTCATACGCACCGTGCACACACACGTGCAAACTGAACTCCTGACATCAGCACTGCGTTAAACAACCGGATGTAAAACAGCAACCAGTGTCACAAAGAGAGCACAGTCAGAAGTTGCTCAGGTTGAACAGAAATGCAGCACATTGTGGCCAGAAGCTTCACATAAGGACTGGTATTAAAGTAATGACCACTGCTCCAAACATATTTCAACAGGCTTTGAAACTGAGGCACGTGAAGCAAAAAATAAAGCTGTTAGAAGAGAAACAAAATGACCGTTTGATAATGGCATTATTTCACACCACATACATCCTCAGCCCTATTCGAGGATCAACAAGTCCTCCTCTGAGCCTGACCGACACTTGTGCCATCAGTAACGTCTGAACCATCATCACAGACACGTGGCTTTCCTCAAAGCTCAGGCCAAAGCTACCGGAGTTTGGAGTGAGCTACGTTGTGTTTTTAGAAGCTGAGAAAACACAAACTCCAAGTGATTTAGATGCAGATGACTAAAATACAACCATTACACGTTTTAATAGATATTTAAAGATATTTTCCATAAGACTGAGTTTGTTGTGGCTCCTTGGACTGATGAAGTGTTTTGGGTGAAAGATGAACTTTGATGTTTTAGATATTTACAATATAATCATTTTTGATACTGCACAAGGGAAAACAAAATCTCTCTCCCAATACTCCCATTGCCTCATCCCTTACAGCAGCTTCCATGAAAACCAAAAGGCACAAAGTTTCTGTTCGGTGCAATGATTTTGTTTTAATTTGTTCCTAGAACGATTTGTTTTTGTTACTCCCTGATACAGATGTCAAAATGAATTTTCTGATTCAATCTTTATTTCTACAGGTTAGTCTCATTGAGTCACGAGGACTCATTAACAAAAGAGACCTGTTTTAAACAAAGAACACAGATGAGTTTTGGTAAATCTGTCACTGTGTGAAGTCTCTTTTTCCAAGATTGGACTCCCATGGTTTGTTTGTGCCACCGACAAAAAAACCAACAACAACAATAAAAAGATTTGCAGTCACCATGAGATGAGTCCAGTAAACCAGACCACGTACCACTCTTCCTATATGCACAGTACAATGGTGTGTCATTTGTGGTCAGAGGGATAAGGACCTTGTACATCCAGGAGGTTTCTACATTCTGGGGAAGTCCTGATGGAAAAAGTGAAGACTACTTACTCTCTGCGGCCACTTGATGATGGGTTTTCCTGTGTATGATAATTTGGGGTTATCATTAGCGTGTTCCCTCAACAGAGCCTGCAGAACAACAACAAAACAGGGTGAAATTAAAAAAAGAAAAGAAACCAAGATATCAAAAATACATCATTGGCACCAACACACCGATGTACCTTGACATGAGTAAGGAGTGCTGACGCGTTCTGGATCCCTACTGGGACACACTTCTTGTTAGAAGGTAGCAACTCCAGTTTACCCAAAAGGTTCCAAAGCCCCTCCAGTTCCAGAGGAGTCAAATGAACTTTGGGTGCAGCCTTGTCAGACTGCTGACCTACACCCTTTTCATCTGAGCAACCTTCTTCTTCTTGCTCCGACCCTTGCTCGTGTGCTGAATCAGTTCTCTTAAGACCTGAAACAATGAAACGGTTCACTTACTTACAACCACACTGCATCAAACAGTGGAGCCATAACAATAAATACTCTCACGACAACTTGACTAGGCTCATCTTTTACATTGTTAGTTAACGCAACAAGATGCTTTGCCGATCACACAGCAGCAACTCTGTAGAGGCCTGTCACGATAACAAATTTTGCTGGCCGATTAAATGTCTCAGACATTATTGTGATAAACGATAATATTGTTTGAAATTTGACAATAATAAGTAATTATTGTCAAATTTAAGAAGAAATGTTGGTTAATTTGTTTTGAGTGTAGCACCTATTTTCAATCACCAGATGGCAGTATAAGATTGTTTGAACCAAAGTATGGATAGTGAGGGAGCGAGCAGCGTGTCTTTAAGAAAAATGGGAGGGAGGCCCCTTGACGTGACATGGGCTCTCTCATTCCGTTTTTTTCCACTGCTCAAAATGGCGGACGCTCTGTGTGGTTTGAGCTCTTTAGCATAGCATTTTTCACACAAAGCTTTTAATATCAGTAAACAAGTTCTCAGCTTCTTTTTGCAGAGAAAAACTTTTTACACGAAGGCACGGGTTTCAACCGTGAATTTTGGAGCTTCGACACGACGGAGGTTTTTTACAGAGGTTGGCCTGTTAGCTTAGCTCGTAGCTTAGCTTCTCAGCTTAGCTGCTTTTAACGATCCAAAAACTTGATTTTGGATCGTTAAAACAGATTTTAAAGAGAAAAGAGAAAGGGAGGGGTCAGTGAAGTTCACCAGAGTTTAACTTTGTGTCATCCAGTGTTTTCAGTAGAAAGAGAGACACGAAGAAACGATAAAGCCAATAAATGAAAATGAGGTCAATAATTTTAATTTATCATGCGATGGATTGATTGTTTATTACGACAGGCCTGATTTAGAGGACTTTGAACATGGTGTGATTTTCATTGCCAAACAGGGTGGTCTTAGTATTTACTTAGATCTACTTAGATTTTCCCATACAGCCATCTTTGGGGGGATCACCGAGCTACCCTGGGCTTGAACCCACAGCCTCAGAGGCCTCAGCCACACCGATTACTGACCGCCGAGCTACTGCAGCATTAAATATTTCTACATCGACTGAGTCGAAAAGGAATACTTAGCAGACACGCATTATAATCTACAAAATGGATTTGAACTAAAGCAGAGTATTAATATTATGGATAATTTTTAGATTGAATTAGTTTTCAACATGTAATATTTTATTTGAATGTAACTTACAAAGTTTACTGCTTTATAATTAGGTTTTATATCTCTGTACAGTACATTAGAAAGTGGGTGTAATTTGAATTTTTATTCAATTTTTAAGTGGCCAGCATATTTCAAATATCTTTTTATAAATGAATAGATGTGTTAATCCCAAAATGATCCTGTAGTTGTCGACTTTTCAACGAGAATGTCTGTTCATTATTAAAGGATTTCTGCCAGCTGCCCTATTATATAATATGGTAAATATGTTAAAGGTTGTGGGAAAAAAAGCAGTTTGTTTTTAAAGACAGTTACTGCAGGACAAGTTAGTGCACAAAATAATTGTATTTTTTTCAGGGACACATGCCTGCTCATCCTCTCACTGACGACCACTGTTCTGGCACTGTCAGAAACTCCCTGATAACAGTATCGCTCCACTCGTCCTCTGGTGCCCATTCTACATTACCTGTCACTCAAATGCAGGTATTGGACTCTTGACACCCTGTTTCCTCCCACGCTGTGTCTCAATGACTGGTATTAGCCAAACAATGAGTTTAAATGTATTTGCAACTACTATAGCTGTTTACATACCTATGCCCAGGGAGTGTTTCTGAAACTCGGGTGCGAGGTAAGAGATCTTGGTCAGACTGAAGACATACCGCTCCAACACATACCAGCACATCTCATAGAAAAAGGGATAACGAAACTTCACTGGAACCTGAGGTAAAGGTGAAAGGGAAACATTTATTTTAGTTATTTAATGACCCCATGCTGCTTTGCTCACTCTTCTGTGTTCCTTACAAACCAGATTTGGGTGAAACCTTGATTAAATGCTTGCATTATCAACAAACGTAAGATCGTAAAGAAAGTAATCATCATTAATTCCATCCATCCATCCAACATTTGCTTATTCTGAAGTCAGGTCTCAGGGGCAGCATCTTGAGCAGGGAGGTCCAGACATCTCTCTCCACAGCCTCTTCCAGCTCTTCTGGGGGAACGCCAAGGTGTTCCCAGGTCAACCAAGAGACGCAGTCTCTCCAGTGTGTCCTGGGTCTTCCCCGGGGTCTCCTCCCAGTGGGACATGCCTGAAGCACCTCTCTAGGGCGGCACCATGGGGGCATCCTTACCAGACGCCCGAACCACCTCAACTGGCTCCTCTGGATGTGGAGGAGCAGTGGTTCTACTCCGAGTCTCTCCTGAAAACTGAACTTCTCACCCTGTCTCTAAGGGAGAGTCCAGTTACCCTGCAGAGGAAACTCATTTCAACCTCCTGTATCCGTGATCCAAGGGGGTCAGAAGCATCCGTAATGTGGGGGGGACACAATGTGTGTAGGTGTGTGTGCACACGTGCACATGTGTGCACGTAAAAAAAGGTGTTCACTAGTGAACAAAAAAGCAGCATTTCACCTAATTTCCTTTAATTCCACACATTTAAATCATGTTCTCACCAAGTTTGTGTAAATTCAGCTGTGGGTTTAAAGACAATTTAACTTTAATACACTTTAACACACGTCAGGTCGACACTATTTGTGTTTATAGAGAAATAAAAATCATCACCACTGGACTTTTTTACTTGTGTTCAACACTCCTCATCTAAATGATGTTTGTCATGAAGCTTGAGGACAATAAGGTGTGGGGGTTTAAAGATGTTTCAACTTTAATGCACCTGAACACACAGAGTCTCTTCCACCTGCAGCCTCTCAGTTACTGCTGAGATAAGATGCTACAGACGCAGCTCCTCTCAAACATCCTCCTAACATGAATATATGTTGATGATCAACCCCCCGGCCAACCACTGCTCGCACTAAGCTGCTAAACTGGCGAGCAAGCAACACAGATACCTCCACCTCCTCCACCTGTGCGCGTTTTCTGCAGAGGCAGGAAGCGACGGAGAATTGGAGGGAACCAGGAAAACCTGGAGTGGAGTTTTAGTGGCTTGAGTATTCTCCTATTAATCAAGTGGAATGGATTTGTTCACGAAGAAAGAGAAACTGCGCCGCCTGAACTAATGTTTTATAGTAAAAGTGTGTGTGTGTGTGTGTGTGTGTGTGTGTG